AACACCAGTGGCGATCATCCGAACCCGTCCTGGGCCTCGCCTATGTCGACTCGGCCTCAAATGAGTACCGGGTACGGTGCGTAGTAAACATCGCCACTCGGGAGACGAAGGCGGCCGGGCGAGATGCTGGCCACCCACCCCCACGTGTGCCGTGCCGGCCTTCATAGGTACTTGCCCCGGAAGTGCTATGCGGGAGATCTTTGTCTTCGTGGTTGGGAGCGCGTGTGTTTATTGTGTTTACATTTGGCTGAGTGCTTTGTGAGCCGCCCACGCTCACGTACACCGCGGGGGGGGGGGGGGAGTTTCTCTCGATTGTAAACTCGATCGATGTTCGCAGCCAGATCACGCAGAACTGCACGCAAAAAATTGGTATTGACAAATTCCAAACATCAGAATTAAAATATCAGTTTTGACCGTGACAGTTAAACCTGACATTTCAATATTTGTAATTCTCAGACTTTGGATGTAACATTGAACGCCGAGCGACAAACGCCAATCTTGTAGCAGCGTGTGCCGGGTAAACGTGCCCCCCTATGGCGTGAACAGTAAAAATGTCCCTTGAAGGGGTTTCTTCTTTTAGTAGTAGAAGGAGCTCTTTGTCCCTTGCCCGTTCTTAGACACTTTGGGTGACCGTAGCACTCCCGTGAGATTTCCCAATGGACTCCTTGTGTGGCACGGACGCCGATTGCGCACAGCGGTACCACGATCGACAAAATAGAACGGGCACCGTTTAAAAAAAAAAAACAAATCCACGCATTGAAGACAGTACGTCCTGTGAACTATATTTAATAACGATTGCCGTTGGAGGGAGCCGAACATCGTGTGTTTGCATCGGGACCGCATTCTCACGGGACATGCGTTTCTCCTGGAAACCCACGCAAATTGGTGGCACCGGGCCCCCAACCGGCCCTGGAGGAGGAGATTTGATTCGCTCTTCCACACTGACCGGACGTCTCGGAGGAGGTGTGCGGGGTGTAAATCACGCTTTGCCCCACCAACACGTGACCTTGCCGATGGGACTAACCACGGTGCGCCCACTTACACGGTTGGGTGGACAGAGGCGGTGGGGGCTTAAAGCAAAAACAAAACACAAAACTCAACACACTCCGAAACAACCGCTGCATGAAAATACGAAACTTATTTATATATAACTAGCGGGGAAGTACCCGGCGTTGCCCGGGCGAAAAATATATTTCAAAACTTCTCTCAAAAACCTTACATATACATACACGGATACTAAAAATACGAACATATTTATACATACTTGGTGACAATTCAGGCAATGGGCTACTCTTTATAGCGCCAAGAAACATGCCCATTTGGGGTTGGAGAAACCTACGTCATTAAGTTCATCCGTCGTGCCAGGAGACGGGATCGAACCTGTAAGTCATCTCTGGGTTGCGCGTCCAGGGCGCTGACAATTCCACCACTGCGGCAGATCCCTCCAGCTGTCGGCTACACGTAAATATATTCTGTGCTTTAAAGCTCGAGACATTTCTCAATGTGCAATAACAACAAAATGGTCACCGGGTTTTTAGTTTCATTTCTTTCACGTGGTTACCAGCAGTGCAGAAAATATACTTTAGCAACCCTTTCGACACCAAGAGTGTACAATCATGCACCACGTAAGACCATGCATTTACATGCATGTTGTTCCCTCCCTCGGGTACTGTGAGATGTTCTTCTAGATCTTCCCATGATGTGTGCCAGGGTTTTTTTATCTGTCCCCAGAGGTGGCAGGTGTTGGTCGGTGCAACAATTATACTCTTATTCTTGGTTCTTTCGGTAAAGTCACCACGTAGAAGGGAAACAATAAAATAATAAAAATATTAAACAATGACATTCTCACGACGTTTCGACTGCAACACAAGAAATCATCATCAGGTGCGAAAACCACCTGATGATGATTTTTTCAAATTTTCTTGCTGTGGTTTTCACCCCTGATGATGATTGCTTGTGTTGCAGTCGAAACGTCGCGATAATTTTATTGTTTTATATTTTTATTATTTTATTGTTTCCCTTCTACGTGGTGACTTTACCGAAAGAACCAAGAATATGAATCCCTGCAGTCACGAAAGCTTTAAATAAAAATTTAATCTCTTGCGCATGATGACAGCAGCAATACGGGTTCAGGAGTTATAATGCCAATATCGAGGTCTCATAGCCACGATGAGAAGGCTTTAGGGGAGAGATTGTGGAATTTTGCTATTCCTCTGTTGAAGAAGAGCAGACTACAGTGGGTATACTGTACGGTCCATAGTTTGGGTTGCATGGCCACAATCACACTACCCTGGCTTGTCGTTAATGTGTCTCTCTTTACAGTATCATCCATGTGTCTCCATGGGGTTTATTATATTTGTCAATAGTTTTGGTTTGCATGGGCCACAATCGAACTGCTGTGGCCGGTGTTTTTAATGATCCATTCACAAAGAAAGATACATATCGCCCAACGTTCTGTAGCGGGCCTTTGTTCTTATGTACAACAAAAATCTAATAAAAATATTTTGAAAAACAGGTAAACTTGAAATGCCCTCTAGATGTCCTGTGGTGATGTCGCAAAACCTCAAACTCGGTTCGGTCAACAAACGTATCCTAGAAAACTGGTTCCTAGATATCAGTGCCAAATCAGTAACCGCGGAAATGGAACTCTCTAGCAATTCAAGGAGGGTTGAGATAACGGACAAATATTGTTGATTGTTATGAAAGAGATAATGGTTTTTGCTTACCTTTGAGCAAGAGCAATATTAGATACGGTGTGTGTAGGGGAAAGGAAATGAATGCATTCGAGGTATTCCTGTTAGTTTAAAAGAAGCAGGACTGTACTTAATTTAAACCATGAAGCTGTGACTTCAACAACTGGCAGTGCTTATGGTGGTGCTGGCTGCTACCACTACAAGCACTGCTCTGACTACTACTACAGTATTTACTATTTGTGTTTTACCAGGTAAGGCCCACTGAGCTACATGGTTCTTTTTCAGAAACAACCTGGCCACAAATGATGGCTCAACGACTTACGGGGAAATGTACAGCAGCCAAACACTCCAAGGGCACGTTTCTAAATATGGAGGGGAAACCCGGGGGACCTGGCGAAAAATCCACTTGAACACGGGGAGAACCATGCACACTCCAAATATACGGATGTCAGGGTTAGAGCCGAACCCACGACCTCCTGCATACCGAGAGAGGGAGTTAACATGTCGTTATTGTGCCACCGTGAAAATTCCACATTCCTATGACAGTGTGAAGTCTATCCATAAGGCATACTTATATGTAATCGACCCCAGATGGATGAGATAATGCGCTGAGTCAGATGTCATCTCCCTCGCCTGGTATGCAGGAGGTCGTGGGTTTGATCCCGACCCTGACACCTGTATAATTATATATAATTGTATAATATATAATTATACAGGCGTCAGGGTCGAGATCCAATTATAATTGGAGTTTGCGTGTCTCTCTCTCCGCGGTCGCGTGGATTTTTCTCTGAGTCCTATGGTTTTTCCCTCCACATATAGAATCAACATGCAATTAGTATTTAGCTGCGATACATTTCCACGGTATAAGCTACTTCGCTGAGCTATCATTTGTGATGGCCAGGTCGCTTCTGAAAAAAATAGCTACGATATAGGTCAGTGGGCCTTAGCTGGTAAAATAAATGAAAAAATTATAAGATTTGATACACAAAGGGCACAACCCTGGCGTGAATCGGCTTGCCCGGTCATGTTTAAATGTTTGACAGGCTGTTGAGATATATAGCTCAGTGGGCCTTACCTGGTAAAATAAAATTAGTCGTAGTTTCAGTTGAGGGTTTGAACTCGCAGCGTCTCCGATGGCTGTGAGAGCCACTCATTCTCCCGCCGAGCCACGCGGTCGAATACACCGTGTTTCATTAAGCCCCTGCCGAGGTACCGTGTTGCCCATGACGATATCGTTGCCGGGTTAAATAAACTCAACTATTCAAAACTATTTTTTTTTAATTTTACAAGGTAAGGCCCGCCTCCGTTGAGGCACATATCTCTAAGGTGGTTCACAATGTCATTTTTACACCTGAGAAATATTGCCAGAACGCATCGTTTCCTGTCATCTGCAGACTTGGAGACACTGATCCATACTTTTGTGTAATCCCTACTCGACTACTGCAACGCCTCACTGGCTGGGATACTGAGCAAAGTAGTGGGCAGACTCCAGCTTGTTCAGAATGCAGCTGCTAGAATGCTTACACTACGTACACCATTCCGTGAGCACATTACACCAGGTCCTCTTATTCCTTAATTGACTACTGGTCAAACTCCGAGTGGATTATAAGATACTGCTATTAACCTATAATGCTTTAAAAGGGCTCACCCACACTACTTGCAGGAACTAATACATTTATATATTCCATCAAAGTCATCCAGATCTTCTGATCTCCAACTGCTCAGCACTCCCAGGTGTAGGTTGCGCTCTTTTGGTGATGGGGCTTTTGTTAGTGTGGCACCCAAACTATGGAACGCCTTGCCACTTTAAATCAGGCAACTGAAGTCAGGAGATATACTCAAGTCTACTTTGCAAAACCCAACTCTTTAAAGTGGCCTTCCCTCTTTAGTTTGGTCGGCTGCCCTGGTTCTGTTTTTGTTTCCTGCTTTCCATGCATTGTGCACTGAGACCCTAGGATGGAATGCGCATTATAAATTTGAATTATTATTGTCAAATGCGACCTGGCCCCAAATAATAGCTTAACAAGTGGCTTATCGGGTAGAAATGTATAGTGGCCAAATACTCCAAACGCATGACGTGCAATCTAAAAGTGAAGGGAAAAACCAGAAGACCCGGAGAAAAATCCACGCGACCATGGGCAGAGAGAGACACGCAAACTCCAAATACACAGCAGCAGGCGTCAGAGTCGGGATCGAACCCACGGCCTCCTGCACACCAGGCGAGGTAGTTAACATCTCCTAGCCACCGTGGCACCCTCAAAGGAGTGTGCGTGCGTGTCCGTCCATGGCTGCCGCATGTGTCCACAGGTGCCCTGGTGGCCCCGTGGTGGCAGCGCGGCCTGGTGACTGCAGGCCGCCCCTTGCTGGCAACGCACGCCGACGAGGTCAGCAGTCGCCCTCAGGCCCGGCCGGACGTCGGCAACGCGCGGCCAGGGGCACAACTCGACGACATCAACGATGGATTTCGGGCCAAGATCGACGACGTACGTGGTCGTGCGCCCACAAATCTCCCTCCGGCCCACCCCAAATCTCCCTTCGGAGCCCATGGTGCCAGAGCAGGAATCGGTAGAGTTCCACCTCAATGGTAGCAACATTTTTAGTCCTGTCGATGTATTTACGTGGCCAACAAAGTAACCCTCCCCCCCCTCACTTATTGAAAGTGTGTTGTCGTGTAATTCACCGCGATTGGCCACGTTGAGAAGTGTTGGAGACTGCGAAAGTAACAACCGCATCCGGTGGTCCCGGCAAGTGACGTATCTGCTCTGGGCTGCTCCCGGACTTCTTAGTGGTTGTACCACTGATATGGTGGCCCCATACACAACTCTGACCCCCGCTCCCTGCCATCCACGCCCCGCCACCCGCCCCGTCCCGCCCGATCCGAGAGATGGAACCCGGCCCGATTGTGGTGTTCAAATGTTCCCACTAAAATTCGTTGTCTTCCACGTCTGCTGTCTTACGAAGCGCAATCACGGATAACACCGATTAGCGGATGGTTCCGACTTTTTTCAAAGAGCGGTTGCGCAGGCGCGCACGCCACAAAAAAACTCAACACTTTCGTCAATGGCACTCTGCGGCCTTAAAGAAAATGAAGAAATAATCGATAACAAGTGACGTTTCGGCCAGTAGCCCTTTTTAATATCTCAGCAACAGAAAAGGCCAGGGTGATGGAGTAAATAAAAGTGGTTGATTCCAGTGTAAAACTCGTGCCCATCGTGTCTCATTCTTTTGGCCGTGACCCTCGCCGTGAACACCCGGGGTGGTTATTTACCAATCAAGTCGCCAACGTTTGGTAGAGATCTCACGCCGTTGTCCTCTTGCTTCTGCTTCGTGTCTCTCCCGTCGCTCGAGGGGCCCCAGCTCACCCCACGTGTCTCTCACTCGTCACAGCCACCACCCACACACAGGGAGCCTCCAGGCGGTGGCTAGGAGATGTTAATTACCTCGCCTGGTATACAGGAGGTGGTGGGTGCGATCCCAACCCTGGTGCCTGCTGTATATTTGGAGTTTGCGTGTCTCTCTCTCTCTCTCCCCATGATCGTGTGGATTTTTTCTCCGCGTCCTCCGGTTTTTCCCTCCACGTTCAGAATCAACATCACGTGTTCAGAGTATTTGGCTGTTATAAATTTCCACGTGATAAGCCACTTCGTTGGAGCTACCATTTGCGATGGCCAGGTCACTCCTGAAAAAGAGCTGCATAACCTAGCGGACCTTACCTGGTCAAATAAAAAAATAGGAATGGAAGACCCATCATGATGCCTGTTCATTCGCACCGACTCACCAACTCACCGATGACACACCACCACACCGACCAGGCCTCCCAAATGCTTTACCCGAGCCTTGCCTCTTCACTTCGACGGAGTTCCATTGAAAGTTCGTCGAGTTCACGGCGCGTCGCGTCGACATTGCCCGTCTGTCGTTGGGCCGCCGCCAGATCGAGGAGCTGGTGGGGAAGCCCGCCTGGGCCAGGGAGTCGGCGCCGGGGTCGGCGTCGCCGCCCCTGGAGGGGCCCGAGGGGGTCGTGTCGGTGCCGTACGAGGAACTGAAGGCGTTGCTGGCGGCCGCTGCCGTGTGGCTCGTGGACGTGCGCGAGCCCTCGGAGCTCAAGGAGAACGGCGCCATCGAGGGCTGCGTCAATGTCCCACGTGAGCGCTGCCCGCCAATCGCTGTTACTATTATCATCGTCGTCGTCGTCATCGTCGTCATCACGTTTGTTGGGGTGGCTTTAAGGCGCGACAGCATACATGTGCGAACGCCACCTGGTCCCCCTTTACGGGATAGAGTGTTTCCCCCTCGAACACACGTGTGTAGGCATTTGGCCGCTGTAAATGTCCACTCGATAAGCCACTTGGGGCCGGCCTTCACAGGACGCCGCTCGCGAGCAGCACTTGCCCCGACGGTCCACACGTGATGGCAGATCTTCGTCTTTGTTGCAGTGGGGGAGCTGGGGGAGGCTCTGCAACTGTCCCCGCGTGAGTTCCGCGCGCGCTACGGATCGGATCTCGTGGGCCCGAGCGCCCCCAACACCGTCTTCCTGTGCCGCGCGGGGAGGCGCAGCAAGGAGGCTCTGCTCATTGCGCAGAAGCTGGGATACACCAGGTACGCGAGATGCAGCCACCACACGCTCGACAACAACAACAACAACACTCGGCAAAAACAACAACTCGCCAACAACAACACTCACCAACAACAGCACTCACCAACACTCAGCAGCAACAACAATTCACCAACAACACTCAGCAACAACAATAAATCACCAATAACATCACTCAGAAACAACAACACTCGGCAATAACTCAGCAACAACACTCACCAACAACGACACTCACCACCAACAACAACACTTACCAACACTCAGCAACAACAACACTCAACAACAATACTCAGCAACAACAACACTCAGCAACAACAACACTCACCACCAACAACAACACTTACCAACACTCAGCAACAACAACATTCAACAACAACACTCAGCAACAACAACACTCGGCAACAACAACACTTACCAATACTCAGCAACAACAACACTCAACAACAACAACACTCAACAACAACACTCGGCAACAACAACACTCACCAACAACGACACTAACCAACAACAACACTTACCAACACTCAGCAACAACAACCCTCACCACCAACAACAACACTTACCAACACTCAGCAACAACAACACTCAACAACAACACTCAGCAACAACAACATTCACCAACAACGACACTCACCAACAACGACACTCACCAACAACAACACTTACCAACACTCAGCAACAACAACACTCACCAACAACGACACTCACCAACAACACTCAACAACAACAACACTCACCAACAACGACACTCACCAACAACAACACTTACCAACACTCAGCAACAACAACACTCAGCAACAACAACACTCACCAACAACGACACTCACCAACAACACTCAACAACAACAACACTCACCAACAACGACACTCACCAACAACAACACTTACCAACACTCAGCAACAACAACACTCAGCAACAACAACACTCACCAACAATGACACTCACCAACAACAACACTTACCAACACTCAGCAACAACACTCAGCAACAGCACTCAGCAACAACAACAACACTCGGCAACAACGACACTCACCAACACTCATCAACAACAACAACGACACTCACCCCCGCGGATGCTCGCCGGTGCGTACGGAGTGCAGGGGGAGCCGGCCCAGGTGCCCGTGGGTGGGAGTCACGGAGGTTCCACCGAAAGGGCCCTTCATGGGTCAGACTCGTGGTGAATGTTTCTGCTAGGAAGCTATGGGTCAGCAGAGCCGGGTGTTTAAGGCGACTCATTGGCCCGTGGACCCCCCCCCCCACCCCCCGATCCACCCTCGGTGCTACAATCACAGGCGTTTTGATTTCATCTCTCACCGGAGGGTCTATGGATAAGTGAGGGTCAATCAGTTTCATGGGGCTTGCATTCTCACTCGAGGATTGGGTCTCTACTCCCGGTGTTGTTGGTTCCTAGTCCGGGTTCATGGAGATCCTAGCTCGGCTTTGTGGGTTCGAAGTCTGGGTTTATTGGTTTGCTAGTTCAGGTTTGTGGGTTCGTAGTCTGGGTTTGTGGGTTTGTAGTCTGGGTTTGTGGGTTCGTAGTCTGGGTTTGTGGGTTAGTAGTCTGGGTTTGTGGGTTTGTAGTCTGGGTTTGTGGGTTCGTAGTCTGGGTTTGTGGGTTCGTAGTCTGGGTTTATGGGTTAGTAGTCTGGGTTTGTGGGTTTGTGATCTGGGTTTGTGGGTTCGTAGTCTGGGTTTGTGGGTTCGTAGTCTGGGTTTATGGGTTAGTCGTCTGGGTTTGTGGGTTCGTAGTCTGGGTTTATGGGTTAGTAGTCTGGGTTTGTGGGTTCGTAGTCTGGGTTTATGAGTTAGTAGTCTGGGTTTATGGAATCGTAGTCTGGGTTTGTGGATTCGTAGTCTAGGTTTATGGGTTTGTAGTCTGGGTTTGTGGGTTTGTAGTCTGGGAGTATGGGTTCGTAGTCTCGGTTTGTGGGTTCGTAGTCTCGGTTTGTGGGTTTGTAGTCTGGGTTTAGGGAATTGTAGTCTGGGTATATGGGTTCGCAGTCTGGGTGTATGGTTTCGTAGTCTGGGTTTGTGGGTTCGTAGTCTGGGTTTATGGGTTCGTAGTCTGGGTTTGTGGGTTCGTAGTCTGGGTTCGTGGGTTCGTAGTCTGGGTTCATGGGTTCGTAGTCTGGGTTTATAGGTTCGTAGTCCCAAGTTTGAGGATTCTGAGCATGGTTTTGTGTTTGTGGTCCAGGGCACCATGAACACCGTATCCGATTAGCACGTTTGGCTACATATGGTGCGAAATAAGTTCTACATACATGCCATCTAAGGGTTTTAAATGTATTCTAGTCTCTTTTATATTTTTGAAACTATTATTATTTTGTGTAACTTAACTTTCATTGATGTAATGTTACGTTGACTGGCACAGCACTCTGTGACAATTCTGTCGGTGAAGGGTGTCACGTGAACTAAAGTTGCATAGCATTGATTGATATTGATGGTGGATGTGGCGCAAGCAACAAAAAACTGAACCAATCAGTTTCAGTTCATTTTGAATTACCGCGTGAGTCAATAAGCTCTTAAATCGGTGTATAATGAACCAAAAACAACACCGCCATTTCCCCGACATACACACAAGTCGCAGTAAAATAACTTAATAATAAACAATAACAGATAAGCCAAATTTAAAATAGATAGCAAATCATAATCGCAATATAAAAATTGCCTTTTTAAAAAAAAAAGAAAAAAAAAGTTAAATATGGATGATCAATTCCACAATTTCAGTATCAGCAAAAAAAATATCCTCGAGGCTGACGGAAGCAGGCACCCGCGTGCCATAGCTGGAGTGTCGAGGATTGGGGTTCCTGCTTGAGAAGGCGTCTCGTGTGGGCGCTGTGTGGGCCCTAACGGATTGCGTGCGTGCGCCGTGTGCTTGTTTACCAACTGTGCAGGGCTCGGCATTATGGGGGAGGCTGGCTCGACTGGGAGAGGAGGGAACAGCAGGCGTGATGGCCATCCTCCCGAGCAAGCCACGAACTCCCAGGACCCACGGCACAGCCGCCAACGCCACCGCCGCCGTCTTCACGCGATCCATTCTGGCCACGAGGGCCGAATACTCTCCCGTGACACTGGCCCATATCCTTTCACAATAACAGCTGGCTCCTATCCTTGAACCAATACCGTTTGTGTGGCTCGCTCAACTTAAAATGATACGTGAGGCTTTTTCCTAGTCCTAAGTCAAAGTCTGTTTTTTTAACCACGGTTCAAATAATCCTAAAACCTCAAATTAACCCTAACCATGCCCTTGACTCTGGCTGCAGTAGTTAGCCGCGCAGGGCTAACAGCATGCCTCACTGCAGTTGCCACCACAACTGCAGTGAGGCAGTGTGGCGAAATAAACGATGGTCGGGTGTGGTGTGCGAGGTGGAAACAGTGCGTACTTATCCTGCTCACAGCCAATCGGTGGTCCTACTCCGGGGCCAGAACCACCCTATTCACGGTTATTCATTTACACCGCCTTTGTTGCGGCTAATTCGCCCCAAGTTCAATCATCCCCAAGTCGAATACCGCAGAACGAGTGGCTGTTTTCCCCCTTCCAGCACCAGCCCAGGGCAGACGGGCATTGCATTTTGCTTTAGTTCCACATCGCAGAAATAACGGCCGATTCCCAGATTCTCCAGCACACCCTGTGGCTGCGATGTTCCTCATTGGTCCACCACTTGCTCGGGATTTGACCCGGAGAGGTGGCAACCAAACTAACACGAAGAGGTTGGGATCGGCATCTGTGTTCGGGTGGCAGGATTTCCTTCGTAACCGAGGTCTGCTACCAGTATTGATTTGAACTTTCGAATAACAAAAAACAAATACTGCACAGTTTCCATGAACCCAAGTGTTAACTGGAGAAACATTACCAGGTGTGGTCTACAGGGCGGTCCAGGTCCAGATGTCTTGCGACCCCCCCCCCCAATGAATTAACCCCGACATTTGATTTTTCCTTTGCATATTTATTTCTAAACTTTTTGGTTCTTTTGGTAAAGTCACGTAGGTATAAAATAAAATAGTATTTTATTTTAATTGTATTTTCTACCTACGTGACTTTACCGAAAGAACCAAAGAGTATGGGTTCCTGCAGTCACGAAAGCTTCAAATCAAGACGTTCATTTATGTTTAAAATCACCTTTACTTAAAAACAAATATTACGTTTTCGGGAATTAAATGGGGGTCATGAGAAATCTGGACCGTCCTGTACAGAGGAAAAGGTGGACTAGGGACCCGAGCCTCTCGACATAACGCTTCACCGATCTCTAGAGCCCTCTTAATAACAACGCACGCTCGCCCCTCGAAACACTCGGCCTGGTCACGGCATTCCTTTTGGAGCCCCGTGCCCCTTGACGCCCACCCCTGCTGCGTGTTCGTGGCCGCCTTCCTCGAGGGGGATTTGTGCGTGAGCACGTGGGAGCTCGAATTCCATGGCTGCTGCACGGACTATTCTGGTGGCTTCTCGGCCCGTTTGCCAGGGCTGCCCTTTCGGCAACGCCACGCGAACCTCCCGTGGCTTTTGGCACTCTTGCCGCGATGCGAGGTCGAACCATAACCCCGCTCCCAAACCGTTAGGGGCCGTCCATAAATGACGTCACGCACCTGGGGGGGGGGGGGGGGGGAGGAGGGGTCAGACATTTGTGACGATGTGTGATGAGAGGGGGGGGGGGGGTTGAGAAATGTGACGTCACATCAAAATGCGCAACTTTAAATAAATATAGACAACACGTTCTACTTAATTAAATTGACTTTTTAATAAATGTTGTCTCCTACAACATCAGAGTGCAGCGCCACATTAAATACGCACTACAATGACATGTTTAAAAAAAAATTTGGGGGGGAGGGGGGCAGAGCTTTGTGACGTCATATTTGAGGGGGGGGGGTCTGACTTTTTGTGACGCCGTGTGACTGGGGGGGGGGGGGGCTCAAAAATAATCCAAAATCGCGTGACGTCATTTATGGACGGCCCCTTAGCACCATCCCCGTCCAGAACCATAACCTCTCCTCACGGTGGTAGCCATGCCCGTAACCGTGGCAACAGCCATACAACTGTCTCGAGCCTGAGATGTGGCAGATTATTACTTCTTAAATTCTAACCGGAATAATACTGTTAAGTTATGTAAGTGTGTTCGGTAGATGATTCTTATCGTGGTCCTCATATATAAATATAAAGATGGTTCATGGTTTCATGAAATTGTGGGTACGTTGGTTGTTATGTCCAACATGTTAGACAAATTATCCCAAGTTTTCCCACAGGCACAATGCTGTATTGGTCTTAGACAGCATACCGATGTAGTGCAGTGATTTTATTGCACAGAATGATTGAAGTTCACTTACAAATTCACAAGTGATCGTGTTGTGTACGTAAACAATAAACCTCATTGTGGTACGACCCTGAGATAGGTTTTGCATGCACTGCCATCGCATAGACGTTGACACCGACGAAATGTAAACGTCTGCGAATCATCGACGGAGCTAGAGACAACAACAACAAATATACAGGGTGTTTGAAAAAGATGGACACGATTTGAAATCGCTATATCTCTGCAACCACGAACCGCCCATGAATGAAACTCTTACCACTTGAAAGGGCGGGGCATAGAGAGGGCGGGGCATGGAGAGGGCGGGGCATAGAGAGGGCGGGGCATAGAGAGGGCGGGGCATGGAGAGGGCGGGGCATAGCGTTTTAAATGGTTACCGCTAGATGTCTCTCCCAGCACACAAACAGCCCCTAGCCTCAGTCATTCTCTAGATGCCTCTCCCAGCGTACAAACAGCCCCTAGCCTCAGTCACTCTCTAGATGGTGACCCCAGCGCACAAACAGCCCCTAGCCTCAGTCATTCGCAAGACGGTGACCCCCGCAACACAAGGGGCGTTTTTGCGTTCTGCAGTTCAGCAAGACTGAATCCGTAATTGCGGTGCAGCGTGCGTTTCATCAGACCCTGCGACTTTCTCTTGTGGGGATACGTCAAAGACCGTGTTTTTTGCCACTATTCGTGACTAATCTGGAAGAGCTCAAATACAGAATCACGGCAGCGGTGACTTCAGTGGAAGACGACACTTTGAGAGGCGTTTGGGACGAATTCAACTATCGTCTCGATGTTGTCCGTACAGCAGGTGGAGGGCACATAGAGCACTTATAAAATGGTTAGTAAACACTTGATAACTCATTCAACAATTTGTGAAATATACTGCTTTGAAATTGGGTCCATCTTTTTGGAACATCCTGTATATGACCGTCTTTGTAAATCCGCAAAGTGGCGACTCGTTCGCAACGTTTACACTTTGACGAGTTCACCTTTGTACAACCGTTGCCGTGAATCTTAACGGCGCCTGAACGAGACTGGCGGCCTGTCTGGGATTGCCTTTCCTTCGATCGTGTGCACGTGGTTGTTGTTGTTGTTGTTTGTAGCCGTAATGTTACCATGACATTTCCCCCGGGGGGGGAGGGGGGGTAATCGTATTTTTTTTTTTCATTTACACAAAAGGCACTCAAGTGGAAAAAGTAGAAATGACAGCACCCATGATTTAGTTTTTTTTGGGTTAGATTGCGTGAATATCAAAGTGTCGTTAAACCCGTCACCACCCGACAGCAAATTAGTATGGTAAATGTTGTGGCTTGGCTCTCCAACACCGGTGTGCTGTACTAGTAACGAATTGGCCACGTTCTGTTTACGTGACAACCCTTACTAATTGGCTGTGTCGGGTGGTGGCGGGTTTAACGACACTTTGATATTCACGCGATATAACCCAAAAGCCTATATCATGGATGTTGTTGGTCGCGAAAGCCTACCACATGTTAAAATTACAGCACGTTGCGTCGCATATTTAAAGTCTTTCAGTAATTAAAAAAAACTATTTAAAACTTTTGGTTTTCTTTTGTTCCTTTATTTCAAGGCTGCATCTCCAGATTTGAAGTTTTCGTGACTGCAAGGATCCATAACTGTTTGGTTCTTTTGGTAAAGTCACGTAGGTAGAAAATAAATAAGTAAAATGAAGCAAAATTTAAAACAACTCAATTAAATCACGACAGCAAAATTACTGTAATTAACAGTAATTCTGCTGTGCTATTTACACCTGACGAAGGAAGCTTGTGTTGCATCCGAAACGTCGTGATTTCATTTAGTTTTCATTTTTTTTGTTTTACCTACGTGACTTTATCGAAAGAACCAAAGAGTATGCTGTATCTCCACTTTGCAGTTACCGATTCGTCGCTGGGTCATGGCCTTGCACTGGTTGCCACCTCCGCGGAACCGATGAGCAACACCACAGGCCACGGTTTGACTCCTGACACAGGGTGCCTGGTAATCTCTGCCGGGTAATTGAGCCCCAAGCACACCTCGTGCTCTAAGAGTAAGTGCCAAGAGCTGGCGACGACGACGACAAGCCGGTGCGGGGTCTGGGCTCACTCTTGAGCTGCTACGTCTTACAATCTGACAACTATTATTACACGTCCCTGTGACTTTACAGTTATCCGGAAATCCCCGTTGGCTCTTACTTGTGAATATGAAGCACAATGTCACAATTCGGTTCACTTGAACAGGTACATCTGTGAAGCCCAGTGTGCGTGGATTTTGCTTAGCCGGCTTAAGATTCACAAAAACTGGTCCGTTTGTGAGAAAATTACGAAACGAATTGTATTCTTTGTTTTGACAGGGAAGAAATTTATAATGAATTGCTTTTGGAAATATTTTTTTTTACAATGCACGTTCATTTGTACTAAAGGAACATGCTATAGAACTATGGTTGCATATTTAGCGCTATGCTTTTGTCTATGGAATAAAATTTATTTTAAACGATTATAAATCCATTCACGTGAAAAACAATGAACTTTCACGGGTTGTGTTTCTCTCTCCGAAATATAAAAAAGCACGTTTTTTTCCCCCTCTCATATAACGTACCAACTCTGACTGTTAAATAGGATAGATGCTCATTTCAAGACGAGCCTGATGTTTTAAAGATAATGTACGTTGTCGAGATGCGCCCATAATCGTTCAATTAAATATTTAACAGTCATTAAAACTTGAGAAAAAGTTCGTGTGGTTTTTTTGGTGTCATATTCTTTAAAACTGCCATGCCGAAATCGTATGTAATGCAAACGATAATTTTATCCAGAATGCTACTCTTAATTATTATTACTAATCTGGTGAACCCAGACTACTTTTCAGGAGGGTCCTGCCAAATGTTTGCAGTAAGGGGACGAAGCCACTACGGGTCTCATAGAACGTGGTGTAGATGCGTTCCTGAAGAACACCGCGTTATGGAAAAGCACGTTATAACTTATGATATATAATATAGGGGTAAAGCAGAGTCCGCGATAACACGCGAGATGCGTACGCAGGCTGAACAAAGACTTGAGGCGCGTGGGCGGCATCTAGAAGCATCCAGCAGTATCCCAGTGCCTCGTGCGACGATGTTATGCCATATCAGCCATACAACCGCTCATTACTCGCGCACGGCGGAGTTCCGTTCACTCAATCGCGTTACGCCCAATTCACGTTATGAAAACAACACACGCGGTTATAGGAGAACAGACAGTATTTCGATTGTAGTCGAAATTTCGAGTGTTAGTCATTGATATTGTTATTATCAGCTTTTTATTTCGCCTAGATTATATCTATACTCGTGAGTGTAGTTGTATTTTTATGTACAGCACTTTGAAATACTTGAGTATGAAAGGTGCTTTATAAACTAGAGGTTATTATTGTAATGATGACTTGACACACTTTCTTGAGATGTTTTTTTTAATTGAAGACATGTTCACTTGAACAGGCGGAGACCCCACTGCAACAGCCCCGAGTCTCCCGCGCATCTCCCTTATATACGGTCCGAGGCCATGCCCACATTCCCGAACCTTCTCGCTGGCTCTGGATGCTCGCTCCACCGGCAGACTCCACCGTCCTCTTCCGTCACCTGGCCCCACTTATATTCTCGATCATTCCCGTAGCCACCAGTCCATTCGTACTGCAAGCTGACTCCCCTGTCATTA